AGACAGAGAGAGAAAGAGAGATGGAGAGAGAACGAGAGAGAGAGAGAGAGAGACAGAGACAGAGAGAGACAGAGAAAGAGACAGAGAGAGACAGAGAGAGACAGAAGACAGAGAAAGAGACAGAGAGAGAAAGAGAGAGAATGAGAGAGAGAGAGAGAGACAGAGAGAGAGAGAGACAGAGACAGAGAGACAGAGAGAGAGAGAGAGAAAGAGACAGAGAGAGAGAGAGAGACAGAGACAGACAGAGAGAGAAAAGAGACAGAGAGAGAGAGAGAGACGCAGAGAGAGGCAGAGATACACACACAGAGAGAGAAACACAAAGAAAGAGAGAGAGAGAAATGGAGAGAAAGAGACACAGAGAGAGACAGACAGAGAGATTGAGAGAGAGTTTATAAAATCTCAGGAATGGCAGAGAAATCATTTCCAGAGCCACCTGCCCTCCCAGGTAGGAGCACCAGGTGGGTGTGGGCCTGTAAGTAGGGTGGGAGGGGCCTAAAGAGGGCGGAGACAAATAGAAAGGGGGCAGAGCCAATCCTCTGGTGTGGGCTGGGATTTGGGGAGTGTTTGGTTGGCCTTTGCAAGACGCGGACTATTGAGACAGAAAGGAGGAAGAGGAAGAGGGCACACTGGGCTTACGTTCTGCAACTCTGCGACGCAGGAACGGCACGATGTAATCAGGAATGATGCAGAAAACCAGAAGGACTGTGGAAGGAATGAGAAACACCTGAGGAGAGAACAGTTTGGTATGGGAGTGGGGTGAAGGCAGATCACCCAAATATAGTCAAAATTCCCTGAGCTCGGCTGTTTTGTTGCAGACATTTCATTACCCATCATCAGTATACTCCTAAGTTGACCCTTGTTCCTTAACTGTTCCCTTCATCCGGCAGCTCTGTGCATGAGCACACTGGGAACAGGCTCCAGCTGTTCTTCTTCCCCACTGATCTCCAACTCCGAAGGCAGCTGATAACTGTCGGACGACCCTGGCCCCATCTCTGCCTCCGACGCCCTTGTCCGAACCTTCCCCAGACTCCGGGACTGGCTCATGTTCCTTCCCAACCTCCTCACTGTCCGACTCTGCGCCCCACCACCTCTGCTAGCCGCTGGCGGGCCGCAACACACGGAGGCCAGGATCTAGGAAGCGCGCTCACTGTTTGCCAATCCGCAGAGGTACTTGAAGAGGAGGACAACGTGGCAGAGAAAGGAAAGGAAAGGGATGGCCCGTTCACACTTGTCCTTGGCACTGTCGAAGAGGCGGGCGCATTTCTGATACGGCCTGCCCATTTCTTCGTTGCAAATGTCGCCCATGTGGAGAAGGAAGTACCAAACGTTGCGCATGCAGTGAGCTGCAAGACAAAAGAAGGGGCGAATACAAATAAAGAATAAAGAGTTTAAAATATAAACTCCGTTGTTGTTGTTTTTTAAATTTAAAAAGAAATACTATATTTAAGTTCAAGATATTAAAAAGTTTACAAAAAACAAAATGTTCAAAAGCTTTACAAAAGTTTCCATGATAGAAATTATATCAACAACTTTCAATATCGCTGTCTCGGCCGTACACTAAGTACCCTTGTAAACTTAGAATTCAACAGTTTTTCCATGTTAACTATATTAATGCACAGTTCTTAATTAATACGAATAAACAAAGCTATATCATCTTTATAGGTCACTCATTCAAGTAAACAGGGAAGAGAGGCAAAGAAACACAAACAAACACGTTAAACTCTCATTTATTTATGAGTATTTTGAGAAGATAAATATTGCCCGAGACGAGACAGGGATTGTAGTCTCAAAGAAGCAGCGGAAGAAAGGAGAAACGGCTGTTCAGAAATAATTTTTTGGAAAGCCCTTTCCCTTCTTTTTAACTTATAATTCTTCCCGCACTCACCGACATGCCGCACTGCATCCATAACAGACCGGAAAAGTTTCCGGACACGGTCCCCGACCACTTTGGCTTTTCGGGCAATATCTTTGATTTTCTTTAAGGCATCTAGGCAGAAGGAGGGAAGGGGGGAACAGGAGCTGGACACGCCTTCTGGGGACACCTCCCTGGGCCAAGCCAAAGGCTGACCTGCAGACCTTTTAACCCCCTGGGGGAATACAAGAGGTATTGGCTGGATATCTGCTCATCGTGCCACAGGCTGTATGTTTTCTGCAGTGGAGTTCCCCTAGCTCCCAGCAATTCTAGAACGGAATGGAATTCTAGATTCCATTTTATATTTTATGCTCTTTATTCTTTATTGTTCTATATTCCACATTCTATATTTTACATTCTATATTCTATTTTCTACATTCTTATTCTATATTCTACATTCTATTCTGTATTCTACATTCTATATTCTACGTTTTATTCCATACTATATTCTGTATTCTACGTTCTATTCTACATTCTATTCTATATTCCACATTCTATATTCTACATTTTATTCTACATTCTATTCTACATTCTATTCTATATTCTACATTCTATATTCTACGTTTTATTCTACATTCTATTCTTCATTCTTCATTCTATTCTATATTCTACATTCTATATTCTACATTCTATTCTATGTTCTACATTCTATATTCTACATTCTATTCTAT